TAACGCTGGTCCTCCTGGCTTCGTGAAGCCCTTATAGTTTGTCCTTTTAGTATCATGAAGCTATTAACGCTGGTCCTTCTTGCTTCGTGAAGCCCTTATAGTTTGTCCTTTTAGTATCATGAAGCTATTAACGCTGGTCCTTCTTGCTTCGTGAAGCCCTTATAGTTTGTCCCCTTGGTATCATGAAGCTCTTAACGCTGGTCCTTCTGGCTTCGTGAAGCCCTTATAGTTAGTCCTCTTGTTTTCACCGTTTACTGCACACTTGCTTAAGTTAATGCCTTTTTAATTATCTCATGAAATACTTAATATTAGTCTTAGAAAGTATTCCTACAAACAGAAAACGTTTTATTTACCACTCCTAGGGTAATTCTGCAAACTAGGGTGAGGGGGTGTGGAGTACTACATTACAAACCATTAACTGGAAACTTATTATCTTTTATTTATTTTCGAATTTTATATCAAAACAACAGGGGTTATCTATGCATATCCATGCCTAATTTGGAACTTATAGATTCGAAAAAAAAACAGTCAGTCAACAGAGCCCACCGCCAACTCTTGGGCTAATCCTATTTGACCGAATACCGAAACTCATCCGTTACTCTTATAGTGAAACCACGGCACATCTTATCACATGGGATTGTAAGTCATGAATCCTTGGATTGATAATTCAAGACATTCAAATCTTCTTCATGACTGAAATAGATCTTCTTTTCATGGCACGTTGGGACTTATGCTTAGGGGAAGTTTCGTTTCTTGAGGACTGACTTATGCTTGGGGAAGTATCGTTTCTTGAGGACTGACTTATGCTTGGGGTTAGTATCGTTTCTTGAGGACTGACTTATGCTTGGGGTTGTAAGTCATGAATCCTTGGATTGATAATTCAAGACATTCAAATCTTCTTCATGACTGAAATAGATCTTCGTTTCATAGTATATTAAAGCTACACAAAGGGTTATCTGTGCTCTGCCCACCACGAGTATCGAAACTCCGTTTCTAGCGTTATAAGTCCGCGGACATGCCGCTGTGCCACTGAGGCGGTGGGGTGGAGATAAAAAGTGTCATTTAGAAACTTCCAGGAAAACCCGGAAAGTCAGAAAATAATGATTTATTACATTCACTTCTAGTTTTCGATGATTTCTTATTACACAGTTTCAGTTATTATTATTATTTACAATTTTATAAACCATATATCAAGTTGTTGTTGTTTTTTTAATTAAAAAAAGAACTCTGTGACAAATGATAATTTTGGAAGTTCTTGCTATAGAACCCTATATTCTGTAAAAAAAAAAAAAGAACTGTGATGCAGGTCATGTGATCGTAATATTGAAGTTTAATAAGCTCCTTTACTTACACATTCATGCAACTTCCACCGGGAAGCTGTAGACGCCGATTGCACCTCCCAGAACTGCGCATCACGAGCTCGTAGCGCGTGGCGTCATGAGCCGAGTGACGGCGACGTTGCAAGCCGGCCCGTCGCAGGAAGGAGATGGGTGAACCCCATCGTTTGGGCTGCCGCATTTTGGAATTGTGAGGAGATTCCGCTTGGACTTCGAGCTGTTTGGCCACTATGTATATGTATCTGTACGGTACTATAGTTTTAAGGCATTCTCACCACGCTTGCCTTGTTGCCCTGGAAACACTTCCTATATAACGTACGTATGTACAATATGCATACATTTGGATTGAGCCAGTTTCACTGATATTGCGCGCATGCGTTACATTTAAAATACCAGTCTATTAATAGTTTCTTGAACGATCAGTTTGAGGAATGCATGTAATTCACTAGTAGAATTTTTATAGTTTCATGCGCAGGTGAAAACTACAGGTAACTTTACCGATCTACTGTTAGATTAGCCCGAGAAATTAGTTCGTGTCACGAGAAGTAATGAAAAGGTAAAGAGCGCGGGTGACACGAGAAGTAATGAAAAGGTAAAGCGCGCGGGTGACATGAGAAGTGATGAAAAGGTAAAGAGCGCGGGTGACACGAGAAGTAATGAAAAGGTAAAGCGCGCGGGTGACATGAGAAGTGATGAAAAGCTGAAGCGCGCGAGTGACACGAGAAGTAATGAAACGGTAAAGCGCGCGGATGACACGAGAAGTAATGATGAAAAGGTAAAGCGCGCGGATGACACGAGAAGTAATGATGAAAAGGTAAAGCGCGCGGGTTGGCTCTGTGGTAGAGCTGAGGAGACTGGTTTGAATCCGTACAACACCACAAAATATTTTTAACATTTTAAGCTGTATCATAAGAGTGACAGTCAATCCCTTAACATGAATGGTAGGTGGTGAGGAGCTGCTGATTGGCTAACCTCCCCTCCGGTTTACCGGTGTAAAATTAGGAACGGCTAGCGCAGATAATCATTGAGTAGTTTTGCACGAATATCCAAACACAATAACGAGATTTGTATCTATACATATATATACACAGCGTGGTC